CGCGCGGCCCCACCCCCGGGCGCCCGGCGCGTGAGTGGCCCCGCCCCCGGGAGCCCGTAAAGGTTGGGGACCACTGCTGTAGCTGATGTTGAAATGGAGGTTTAATGCATGATGAAATAACTGTTCCATACTTGCATGAGAGATAGGTAACACTTCCCATATTTACTAATGAAATGGGGGCTGGCTGATGCCCTAGACCAGAAACAGGCAGCAATTTTTGCAGGGTGTGGGGGCTCTTAATTAATGTTGGTACATGATCACAAGCTGTTCCTTCCCCTTCCCCTCCCCCCCACATCCTCTCGGGAAAGGGCTGGCCCTGAGGCAGAAGGGGTGGGGCTGGAGACTAGCTTCCTCCCAAAGTTGTGTGGGGCCAGAGGCTTTGAATTGAACATGCAGCAAGCTAAGTCTATACTATAAGCTGCTTCTGCAAGACGAAATGCAAATGGAGTCTCATTTGTATTTCCTCTTCGGATCCCTTTTGTGCAAAAAGGAGCTGCGGAGATGGCTCGTTTTTTGGCAAAAACCGCTGTTTCTGCAATAGCGGTTCTTATTGTTTGAGGAAAAACAACTGTGCAAAAAGGAGCCATCTACACAGCTCTTTTTTGCACAAAAGGGTGCCGGAGAGGAAATGCAAATGAGTGCAATGTATGCAAATGAGCTTCCAGTTGCATTTCCTCTTGTGTAAGAGGCTTGTTGTATAGACATAGCCTAAGGGGCTCCCAACTCCTGACCCTGCTGCTATCCTATTACTTGGGAGCTGCCTTTGTTAGTGTGGCTATTTAAAGCAGGGAACCCATTTTTTTTTAGTACTGTTTTTTGCAGCCCAAAAATATAAACGCATATTAAAAATGAATACATGTTCAGTGTTTTACCCAGCTGCATCTTCTGCCCAGCCTGGGTTATGGCTTGGGGGACCTGGTGCTGCATGGGTACTCCAGGAGCAGATTGGGTGTAGGATAGCTGGCTAGGAGGGAGGGTGGAAGGAGAGGGATAAGGTTGCCAGCTGTCCTGTTTTGTACCAGACAGTCCAGTATTTGAGAGTTCTGTCTGGGAGACAAATTAAGAAAATACCAGCCATATAAAAGGTAAGTTTTATGATTAGGTGTGTCAATCCATAGCTGCGAACTGCCTGGCTGGTAGATGTGCCCACGCTGGGTGAGTGTGTGTCTACCAGCCATGCAGTTTGCAACTATTCGAGGGAGAGTATGGGGGGGCCAAAATGGAATCCCCAGGGCCAGACTCACTCGTGTGCCTGGGTCTGCATGTGCCCGGGCGAGTCCCGTTTCCCACCAGCCCATTTGGTCACCTCCCCTGCTTCTCCTCCTGATGTCCCCCGGTAGATGTGCCCACGCTGGGTGAGTGTGTGTCTACCAGCCATGCAGTTTGCAACTATTCGAGGGAGAGTATGGGGGGGCCAAAATGGAATCCCCAGGGCCAGACTCACTCGTGTGCCTGGGTCTGCATGTGCCCGGGCGAGTCCCGTTTCCCACCAGCCCATTTGGTCACCTCCCCTGCTTCTCCTCCTGATGTCCCCCG